TGGGAGGAAAGGGGTCCGGTTGACGATTGTATAGAGGATTATAGACTACGAGGTGTTTCAAGCAATTATATATATATATATATAGAGAGAGGCGTTTGTGCATGATTGGTGTTGCCTACTTCGGTAACACAAAAACACATGACTTCTCTTGTGGATCCGCAATATAGACCTGGGCGAGTGCGGCGCCCTGGCGAGTTGGTTGTGGCGCAAGGACGCACAAGGGGCGCCCGGCGCATGTTGGCTGGCTTTTCGGACACGGAGTCGTGGGGCGCATACAGCTCAATCGGGTGGTTGAGACAGGGTCAATTGATGGGCAAACAGCAAGAATCGCTCGTGTTCACTGATTTCTCTCCGAGGCCTTGGCCTTTGTGGCTCCTGCTGGGCAGGGGCCTGTGAACAGCCAGGTGGCGTGCGGCTTCTGCCAGGAAATCAATTAGTCAAACTACACACAGAAGGCGTGTGCCCCATTAGTGGAAACAATGCACGGCCCAAGGTAATTGCATCATCAACTGCAGCATGGTAATGGGATACACGATACACCCAATTTTTGGAGCACCTCAAATGGTACCTCTGAGGGACTGCCAGTATTGGTTGGTTTTGTAGTGTAAAATCCTTATAATAGTATAAAACAATGGTTGTTTGGCAAAGACCATTAAAACACTGTGGTTGTTGGGAGCTCCAGAGGTGGCTAGTCCTTGCTCATCCAACAGGGTGGGCTGGACGAATCTCCCCGGTACCCGCGCGGCGAACCCGGCGTCCCGATGGACGCTGAAGCCGCAGAACAGGTTACCACCTGAGGCGGCCTGAACCCGCATCCGGCCTCAAGCCGGACTGAGCTTGCCCAAGCTAATGATGTCACTTTAGCAGCCTGCCCAAGCCCTGGACTTGCCCAAGCTAAAGCGCCCTTGGGTGACAAGACCTGAGCTGAAAGGAGCACCCTTTCAGCCACCGAAAGTGAATCCAGCCGTTGAACTACTACCATCTACTCCTAGCTCCTGGCATTGCTACTAGTCGCAAGAAGCTGCCCAAAAGCACCGAAAGCACCAGCCTTTCACTGAGTCTTGCAGCCTTCCTGCCTTCTCCAGGCACCTGTGGATCGCCTGAGCTCTCCTCTGCCTCAGGCTGAAGAGGCCAGATGAGTCATGAGTCAAAGGAGGCCAATTTGATCAATGGACCGGGCAAATTCGGTGTGTTTTGCTTGAGCAAAGTGGTCGTTTTGGACACTGCATGTAGTCATTTCGGCTTCTATCAGCACGAATCCACAGTCCTAACTGGGATCTATTTCAACCAATCCCTTCCTGGGTGGCTTCAGATGTGTTTATTTTCATTACTTGGGATGATTTTCATCCCACTGACCAATATTTTTAAGTTGAAACCACCAACCAGCTTCAATTTGAGCCCCACAAAGCACCGATTCCCAAGCCCAGCGCCGCCCAGCTGCCCAGGCCACTTCAGGGTCCGGGCCCTCAGTGGTCGGAAGTAAGCTGCGGCGCCAGTGGTCCGGGCGGCGCCTCATTACTCGTTCATTACTGCGGGTACGTGGTTTCAGGTTTTTTTGGGGGTTTGGACACGGTTTTGGAGACGGGTGAGTTTGCAAAGCACGGCAGTTTGGAACGGTTCAAGGGCTTGGCATCTTGGGGTGATGAAGACTGGCCACTTCATGCATTCTGGACGAGGCTTTGCAGGACTTGATGTCTCCCGCCCGATTGGAGGACTCATCGGGACTCCGTTTGTAAAGTGCTTCGTGGGAGTAGGTGGCACAGACCTGTGTTGTTTCACTGACCTGGATGGAAGTCTGTTGAAGTCACCTGCTGGACATTGTGCCATGTACTCTGAAACGACTTGGCAAAGCTGACTGTAGAAAGAAGCAGATACCAGAAGACTGATTGTTGTCTCGCTGTGAAAATCTATGGCTCAGAACAGGTCTATAGAGTCTATACAGAGAACTCTGAGTATTCTTCAGAGTGTTCCAACGGGTGCGGTGTGCGGTACTTGCTTGTTGACATGTCTGTCTCATGAAGCTGAAGCAGCTAAAGGATTTCCGTGGAGTTTGCCTCCCAACCTCCCAGCTGGGTGTTCCTCCTCCCCGGACGCCACCCAAAACGCGGACGACGCGGTCTGGGCCAGGTGGGTTTCCCTCATGGCGGGTGCCAGCATGGGCTACGCCGCTGCCGCTGTGGCCGCAGCTTCCAAGGAGCTGAATGGACAGATGTGGAGATGGACAGATGTGGAGGATTAGCATGGTTTAAGCAACTTCTGAGAGAGTGTGGTTGTTTTTTTTCAAGCTGAGCTGAAGTTGGTCGTTTCATCACCTCTGAAGTTGAACGAGATTTAACATGATTTAACCAATCCCTGGGACTCAGGAAGCAGCTTCGTCAGGATTTGTCCAGAAGGAATCCTAAGGTGTGTATAGTGTTCCGGGTCACCATTGTTTAAGTAAGTACCAGTCTGGAGATGAAGAAGGTTATGACTTTTGTGCCTTCGCAGCTTGTTGATCATGTAGAAAGGGAATGGGACGCAGAGGGACAAGTTGCAGGTCACGCTCCCCGAATCAAAATCGACATTGTTTTGGAGGTTGTTGGCAGAGGTTTGGCAGCATGCTGTCGACCACTCCCTTCGCTGAACTGATGTCTGCAACTCTTGGATAGGCTCTAATTTAACAAACAACATTGAGCTGAAAGCTAAACATTGTGGAATTGGGTGGAAATCAACCTGAATTCATCGCCCCAACGACATCGGGACATGGCTAACATGCGATGACGCAGGGTCTTGGGATTTGGAAGTAGAACAGGATCACCATCCATTTGGTGGGTCCCATTATCTTTATATAACTTTCACAGTCCATAAATATAAACAAAATTGACATAAAAGGCGTGCAACCAAACCCAATCATCCACTCTACCCAGGGTGTCTGGGATATCCCCAAACCCTCCACTCCCACTCGATGCGCAGCCGCAGCCGCTCGCGCCGGCTCGTCCATCGCGCAGGGCCGCATCGCCATGAAGGCCGAGAAAGCCGCAGTGGCCAGGAGAAGCGGCCCGTTTTGGGGTGCAAGTCGCTGAAGCGGAGGTGGACCATGGCCGGGGCCAAGATCGGCCGGAAACGACAAACAGCACTGGGAAACCAGGAAGACACAGCGTTTGTGAGTTGGAAGAAGTAGTTGATGATGGATTGAGAGGACCTATGGCACAGTCCCCAAGTTTGGGGGGGTTTATGGGCTCCCATCTACATCTGGGTGTGTGCCAGAAGAGTACGGCTTCCTCGAACTCAGGAAATTCACAAATGCCTTTACTTGTTCATTGGGGATGATCCAAATACAACGCATTCTCAATTCTTCTGTGACTGTGTGGAGTATAGGCGGGGTATATAATCCCCAAAAGACCTTCGATCAAATGAAAGTATCGACACTGGACAGTGGTGTGATCTTCCCATTCCCTGCACACCCACCATGCTCCAAAACACCGATGAAGGAAGACTCCTCATGGATTTCCCGTGGGTTGTTGCGCTTGCTGCGAGGACGCCCGTGGCCTACCCCATCTTCACCTTCCGCTGGCTGGCCGTCCACGCTTTGGTAGCACCTCGACAAGAAGGGCCACATGTGTGTTGTTCCGCGGCGTTGACGGCATGGCATGTGAGTAGGATTGGGTGCTAAGATGGTATAAGCAACGTACGTCACGTGTGTCACACGGAACCGGTGGATGAAGGGCGGCCGGGTCGCACCCACCAAAGAAAGCTGAAACCGAATCCGTGCGATCCGCGTCGGGGGGGTCGGGTGATTTCAGACCGAATCGGTACGAAACCTGATCGAAGCGAAGCGAAGGCGTAGGCGAAGCGAAGCTGGGTCGGCTCTGAACAGCGAAGGCGAAGGTGTTGGTTCGTTTCTTTTGTTTGGTGCCGAGGGTCTACAAGGATGTATATGCATTGGGAGATGACTTCAGCCACCATCCCACAGCTGCACCGGACTGGTGACTGGTAGAGCTCAGATGGCGAAGTTGGGTCCGGGCCAGGCTTCTTAGGATGGTCTTCCCAGCGATGACCGAGGAAGATGTCCATGTCAACCTGTGTTCTGCTGTTCGGAGTGAGAGGTGAACTCTTGCTGATGTCTTGAATGAAGTCTATCAAGAGCCATTGGGAGTGATCTCTTGATGATGGTAGCCAGGAAACGGGGGTAGGATACAACTCACCATGGCCAAGTGGGCAGAGCCTCTTTTAGGGCTACAGGTCTATAGATGATATTATATAGTATGTTATAAAAATTAGTTAGACCAAGCAATGAACCTGTGAAGCGACATCAGGAATTCCAAAAACCGAACGGATTTCTATGGTCTTCTTTTGAAGCAACAACAATCGAGCCGAGCCCGTGCCGCCGTGCCGCGGTGTTTTTCCGACCAAGATCCCCACCGTCTTCTTCCTTGGCGCGATCAGCTCCATGCAGTTCATCCAGCGCTGAGTGGGAGAGGAAAGCGACTCATTCGCCGGTTGGGGCGGAATTTTTGGTCGCAAAAGAGGTGTCTTCCGGCGGCTGCACGTATTCATGAGAGGATAGCTGGGTGAAAGAGAAGCTGATGATGTGTTACCCCAAAAGCTGTTTTTGTTCTTTGTATAGTGTCCAAAAGTGCACCTTCTTTCTTTAGAGACCCTATGAAGACCTGATCTTCCAGCTAAGCAATCAACTTGCCGGAACAGTCACACGGTCACCGAGCTATCACTGGTGGATTGGAGAAACCCGAGCTATCACGGCTGTAGGGACCGACATCAGCGGGGGGGAAGGTTTCTGTGCTTCAGGGTCTTTTTCGTGCGGATCCAAGTGGACCATCCCGCTCCCGTGGTCGTTTCTTGAAATGAATCCCCCAAGCATTTCAAACAACACCCAAGGGACCTCAATAGAACCTCCCAACCCACACGACCCAATCGAAGTCCCGAACATCCGACGTACGCACAGCTCGCTTGGCTCTCGCGAAGCACCGCCGTCCGTCGAGAACGCCGGTTTTTTTTGAGCCATGGCCATGCGCGTCCGGCAGCCCGTTGTGGAGCTCATGCTCAGGGAGGGACATGGTTCAACTGGGTCCCAGGACGGCGTCCAGAATTGGGCACCAGGTGGTTGGAAAGACCGGAAGAAAGGAGACAGATACCTGAGTAACCTAGCTGCTAGCTTGCGCCTCCAGGTGTTCCTTTGTTGGTGTGTTGGCCTCTTTAGACACGTATTTGTCCTGTCAACGACGCTTTCACTCGGTCGACATGCGTTGACTTCTCCAGCCTGCACGAACTATGGCGCAGATCGAATGAGAACATACCACTGAGCGTGCAGGAGCACCACTGAAGAACACCCCCTCAGAGGTTGCAGAACCTTCAGAAGAGCCTGGGCACCTTGGATCATAATGGATCTCAGATCTCGGTAGTTTTCCAAAGGTCTCGCTTTTGTTGATTCTTCTGCAACCTTTGACCCAGGGCAAATGTGTCAAGCCAACGGACCGTAGATGCTCCAACTTTGCCATTCGAGGTTGTGACCACATGTGGAGCTGCCTTTCGAAACTCGATCTTCGCCGGTTGATCTTCGCCCCGTGTTCGAACCCCACAGCTTGGCTCCTTCGACGCCGAGGCGCTCTTCTTCTTGGCCTCCGCTGCCACCGTGGTGCACTCGGAAAACGCGGGACACGGCGCGCGTGAGTGCCTTGCGTCAAGCGCGCGGATCCGCCGCGGATCGCGGACGGACAAGGACCTTGGGATAAACCACCTAGTTAACCTAGTAGCAATGGCCTCCAACCTAATAGCGATGGCCTTCAACCTAATGGCGAAGGAAAGGTGAGATCGTGGAGCTATGAAGCACCTGTCGCTGAAGGCCAAAAATCATGACCTTCTCACATACCCAAGAAGAACATGCGCCCTTGCCGTTCAAATAGCTTAAAATCGCTTGGACAGCGAACAAGCTCAGGATCCAAAATGCAAACGTGTCCCTGAACAACTTTCCATCACCGCCCTTAGGTTGAAGGCCATCAGCCTCATCTCAGACCACCCAGCTTCAGAGTATAGACTTCAGGAAAACCCACTGACAGACTTGACTGCACTGCTCTAGCTGTGACAACGTGACTTTCTCGGATATGGTCGGGGCACGTCCAAGTTGCAGGGCAAGGTGGAGTTGGCCTGTCCCAAGCGAGAGGCGGCGCACTTCAGGGCGAGGCTGTTGAGCTGTGAGTCGGTCACGCGCCTCTGTGCCGGGTAGAGCTTCGGATGGCCAGGGCTCCGGCGCTGGGCCGGAAGCAGCGGAGGAGCTCTGGCATTGTTGCCCGCTTGTGCGGCGAGCTCCTCACAAGGATTCTCGCGAGCACTGGCCGACCGCGCATCTTCGTGTCCACGGTGGTCCGGCGCACGAAAATCGACTGTGCCGAACAGGGCCTCTTGAGTGTGGCGCTGTGTGCCACTCAATGCTCAGGTCTTGTATGGAGGGTGACGTTGCGATGCTGACAGACTCCGAAGGTTGAGCCACACGTCTAAGAATCTAAGAAGGCCCAGGACGGCAACAGAGGTTGGTGTCGGTGTTCAGAATCACCGGGCGGCTCTCGCCTGCGGCGTGCCGCACACGGTTCGGCGAGCACACGGACAGTTGGTACAGGAAGAGTTGCAAAGGTGACGCTGTGAGATGGCTGGTGGATGCACCGAACTGTCCGGGAGGTGACTTGCAATACAATATGTCCAACTTACATGCACAATTTTGTCATCCCAAGCCCTCAGAGAACTTGTAAGTCAAGTTACAAAACTTACAATCTGAGCATATTGAAATTGTTTTTTCTAAACTGTATAAGTTTTTTGTAAGTTACTTATAAGTGTTGTAAGTAAAAAAGCACATTCAAAATGTTAGGTTTTTTGTTTTGCAGTTTGTGGTTCTTTTTTAAAACTGCTTTACGTTTGATGTTTTTTGTGTGTTTGTGTGTCACTGCACTGGTATCTTTAGCTGAAGAACACACTTCTATACACGTGAGCGGCTCATGGAGCCGCCAAAATCTTCCATTGACAAAGTCAGCCAGGATCACGAAGCCACATGGCGGCCGCTTCACTTTCTTCGATGTAAATGACCAAGGAGGAGGGACAACAGTTTCTAGATGCGCAACCTGATCTGAAAATTGCTAGATGCAAATACTTTGGCAGTAGAAAATATATCAAGACCTTGGAGAAATGTACCAAGGCATTTTGGGTTGTCTGTGATTTTGGAAACAATTGCGCGCGGATTTATACATGATTTATACATAGTTTATACATAATGTTTAAACTATTTTTGCATCTTTACGCATGTATAAGTTGGTTTGTTTTCAATTTATACATGTATAAATTGTGTTTTTCAATGTATACACGTATAATTTGATATCTTAAAATTATACATGTATAAATTGGGGGGCGTTTCAAAAAACTATTTATACATTGTTTATACATCTTTTGTACATTCAAGAAAGCAGACAATGTTGAAACTATAGTGATGATTGCAATGAACTATTTATGCATGGGTTTTGTATATTTACACGTTACCTTTTGCTGCGACGGCGGCTTATTGAGCTGCCCTTCCAGAAAGCAGACAATGTTGAAGCTATCGTGATAAATGCATTGAATCATTAATACACAGTTTTAAATTTACACAGTACCTTTTGCTACGATGGCGGCTCATCGAGTGGAACCATAGCGTGATGGTTGCAAAGAAGTTCATGGAGAGTTTTTTGTTTAGCCACCTGAAAACCTATATGGGACAAGTACTTACTGGAAAGGATTTTTTCCAAGTATAAAGTCGTGGGGTAGTGTAGCTGCCCATTGGGCCGCCAGCCATATGCATGTACATGTGCCTCTGCTGGAGGCGGCCCATTGGGCCGCCAACCTCATGCCTCTGTGTAGCTAGTGGCGGCCCATTGGACCGCCCAGGTCACACCTTTGAAAAAAAGTTGAACAAGTATAAATGCGCGACATCGAAGAAGTTAAGTTTTCTAAGTTGTTTCTAAGTAATTTTCAATGTTTTGGCGAGAAACTTTTACTAGATACTAATTTCCCTTAGTTGTAAATAAACTATAAGTTGCATAAACTATCTTAAGAACTTACAGAACTTGTCGAACTTAAACGTAGTTTTCAAGGGAGTTACAACTAGTTTAAAAATAGTTTATAAGTTCCATAACCAAAAACCATCCACCAAGTATGTGGGTATAGTCTGCAGACACGCGTCGCACACCTGGTTTGTCGATTGATTGTTTCGCGTGCAATAGAATACCCTATCCTGATGCCTCTTGCTCACCCAGACGTCCGAACATGTAGCATGTTGAGCCAACACTGCCAGCAAGGTCTTCTCCTGACAGCCTGGGTCCACCGCCGCTTCGTAACACGATCTTCCCGCGCACGTCAGGGGTCGATTGTGCTCATCCGCGCTAGGGCAGAGAAGTTGACTGTGTGGCCGCAGGCAGGTGCCAAACCCCAGGGATAGGGCAAAGGTGCTGGGCGAGTGGAACAGCTAGACCTCTATAGTTGCCAGAGCCCAGAACGAGAGACGCAAGGTGAATGAGGCCTTCCTTTTTGGTGAGAAGACTTCTGGCGTGGGCTGGTGGCACATGGCCTTTGGTCGCGTGGTGGCCGCAAAGCTGACCGTTGACACAGAGGCATTGGCCCAGATGCTCAGCGACGAGCTGAAGGACGCAGAAGAGAAACCGGAAGAGGCTGCTGCTTCAGACAAGTGACCGTGCACCGCTGTGGCGGGTGAAAGGAAAGAGCGCCTGTCCGAAAGAACATTTCCGACAATTGCTGCTTCAAGTTCCTGTTTTCACAGCCCCATCTCCCACTATAGACCCATCTCTCGAGCACTTTTCGTCTTCCACACCACAAGGCGTTGCAAACATAGATTGTGTGCACAGCATCTTTCTGGTTTTTGCCAAGATCTAAGTTAAGGAAAGGAGGCCTGGCGCTGGCGCAATGAGCTCACACAGCGCTGCCAGGGGAAGCGAGCCGAATCCATTAATATGTTTTTTTGCAGGTGTGTTCAAACTACCACTCAGAAAAGGAGGGGATGTCATCCAAATCCAAAGCGATTGGTCAAATCAAAATGGATTCTGAGCCAGATTTGGGTCAGGCATCGGGGTTGGTTAACGTTTCCAAGCATTGTGGGTTTCGATTGGGCTCTTGGTGTTTCACTGATTACGAAAGCCAGCCTTCGTAGAAGGCGCTGGCGGAGTTGTGTTTGGCGAACCAAGTGAGTAGTTGGTGCCCGACTGTTTCGGGGCCGTGGCAAATTCTTCACTTTTTTGTGCGTTTTGATGTTCAAGTGTGTGTCGACGTGGACATGATGTTGATGCTACGTCAGACATGGGGTGGGTTGGGGTGGGGTGGGGCTGGGATGTTGACGTTCATGTACACTTGCAGA